TGCAGGCTCCATGGTGTCCTCCCTGCAGCACTGTCACTAGCATCCCACTGGCTGGGACGGTGGTCCCGTTCCCTTGCCTTGGCCAGAGAATGCCAGCAGTGATGGCCTCCCCAGCACCCTGGGGAAACTGAGGTGTGTCGAGAGGCAGCGAGGTCTCTTGGGCTGCGTCCTTGTGGGGGCAAAGCTAGAGCAGAGCCCAGGTGTCCTGAGTATCAAGCACTGGAAAACCTCTGAGCATCTGTCCCTGAGAAAGCCCCAGGGAAATCTCTGTTCAGTGCCCGGGAGGACAAGGAAGGTGCAGAGGATAGAGGGACATGTGTGCCCACAAGCTGCCAGCCCCAGCTCCTTCCCCCACCAGCCTGTGGCACTGGGCTGGGAAATCGCCAAGGGCAGAGAGAAGCTGGCCAGGAGTAGGGTCCCTCGCAGTCCCAGTCCCCCAGACGTGGGGGGAGAGGTGGCCCCAAGGGTGGGGGGCTGCGGTCTGCTGCCAGGAAGTGCCGGTGGTTAATGAGTAACAGCCGTGAGATGTATGGCAGCTCTCGCTTCTGGGATGTGGACTTGGTTTCCCATTGCCTGATGAGTAAGCAGAAAGCCCGTACTGGGAGCACGGGGGTGACTGAGCCCCTCCTGCACCCAGGCTCCTCCTGCCTGACCTCCCAGCCTGGGGGACCCCCAGCCCCGCCGAGGAAGCGAAGCAGCCCCTCAGGTGGAGAAGGAAGCGAAAGTGGCTGCGCAGAAGGGGTTTGGGAAGGGGGGGCGGGCAGGGCCCACCCCAGGCGGGGGCTCCCCCCCCTTCGGCGCCCTCGGGCAGGGGGGGACAGGGCCCCCCCCAGGCGGGTGCTCCCCCTCCTTGGGTGCCGTATCCTGCCCCGCCATCAAGCCGGAGGCACTTTGCAGCTGCGGGGTTTTCCCAGGTGGCAGCTCCTGGCCCGAGTGTGAGGCAGCCCTGCCCCGTGGGGGCCCCACTGCTGTTTAGGGCTTGAACCCTGGCTTCCCTGGCCGGGTCTCACCTCCCTGCTGCTGTCCCCTGTGCCAGGCAGGCCTGGCCCCTTGCTTGGTGGGGGGAGCGCAGCGCTTCCTGCTGTGGGAGCCTCCGCTCCAGGGTGCCTCCTTCAGGGTACAAACCCCTCATCGGCTGGGCCAGCTGGAGCCTTGGGGTGCATCTGCAGTGGATGCATCTGCAGTAGGTGTAGGTGCGTTGTACTGGGCAGCGCAGAGCCAGGAGCTGAGCCTCCCCCAGCACCGCTGAGCTGCAGGGCTGGAAGCTGCCGCGGCAGCTACTTTTGCCAGGCTGCCCCGGGGCGAGGGTCCCCACAGGAGGGGCAGCTCCATCACCCGGCCTGGGTCTCTGTCCCCGCCTGCTGCCCAGCTTCCTTCTCCCTAGCACTGTGGGGGTGCTGACAGAGCAAATCCCATGTGGCCTGATCCTGTGAGGGTGCAGGAAGCTGGGGCTGGGCACGAGGGCTTCTCAAGGAAACCTCCGTTCAGCGCTGCCCCAGCTGGGGTATTATTACGGGAGCTAGGTCTTGGCAGGGAAAGGCTGTTCTGCAGAAGGAGCAGAGGAGGAAAACATGGAAATTAGTTAGGACGGGAAGGAAATACGGCATGGCTGGGCTGAAGGAGCTGCTGTGACTGATGCCAGGAGAGGATGGGCCTGTCCCTCCTCTGAGCTCCTCCAAATCGTTGTCCCCTGGGCTGGTGGGAGCTGGGAACTGGGGAGGAGGATGAGTGCAGCATCTCCTGCTGCAGACTCTTAGCAAATTCGGGCATGCCCAGCTTACGTTCCAGGTTGCTGCTTACCAGCCAGCAGCTGCCTCCCAGGGCTAAGCAGAAATACAGGTTTTAATAGGGGAGGAGGATGGAGATTACATCTTGAGGATCACAAAATGAGAGGCTTTTTTCCCTCCTGTCTTGGTTCCCTGCATGCCAGCAGCTACAATCTCACTGGGGCCGTGGGGAGAGCGGGGCGCTGCTCCCGGCTGTCGCTGGGTGCGTTTCCCACCGTGCGTTGACCCCTCCAGAGTAAACTCAGCCCTCAGGCTCTGCGCTGCAGTAAATCGTCGGGATCTGTTTGGCCAGTCAAGCAGAGTCGAAAGCAAATGTGTTCCTGGAAGCGCCGGGCTTGGCGTGCCCTGGGGTTGGGCCTCCGTCTGCTGCGGTTCCTCCCCGGGGCGGCATGTGGGGCTCTGCCGGGGCAGCCTGGGAGGGCTGGTTCTGCTGCAGCACCCTGCTCCCGTGGGAAGCGGAGCACCCCAGGGGTTGTGCCACTGCTGCCTGGGTGTGCCCCCTCCTCCCAACGGAACGGCGGCGGCTGGAGCTGTGCTGGCGGCCGGCCGGGCGCAGGCCGTGCTGTGGTTGTTTTGCGCTCTCTGCGATGTTGCCCTAGTGACGCTGGCTTCCTTCCCCTCGCATGGTTTCTCAAAGTCTCTGTGGGGAACGCGCTGCCTGCGAGGACATGTGACGTGACTCCCTGCTCGGCTGTTTGCTTTCGGGGACGGGAAGCCAGCCCTGGGCGGACGGGCTGGATGGGGTCCCGGAGGCGCCCTGGCCCCACGTCTGGGCGGTGAGCTGCTGGTGCCTCGTGCCCCACTGCAGGATCCGGCCTCTGCCCCAGCCAGGTCCAGGGGAACTGGCAGCGAGGTGCGTCTGGGCTGGGCAGTGCAGTGACCCCCCCTTGCCTGGTGGGCCCCGAGGGCTGCCTGAAGGGGAGCAGGCTCCCGGCGGGGGCTGGAGGGTATGAGAGTGGCAGGCAGCGGGGAAGAAGGGAATGAGCTGTCGGGAAGAGGCATGGCATGGGCAGGACAGAGCAGGCAGGCTGCAGGCACTGCTGGGGTGCTGGGGCTGGCCAGGGGGAGGGACTGTCAGGGTTGCAACACCCAGGGCCTTCCCTGTGGACTTTCCCATCTAGCGCCTCATTCCAGTCCTCCTCTTGCTTTCCATGAGCTCTGGAGCCCACCATTTCTGGGGGGCAGCTGGGGCATGCTCAGGAAGGCGTCTTCCTTGCGGGGCGGCTGGGGAGGTTTTGGGGAGCAGCCAGGCTGCCTCACTGAGACCACCCCAGCAGAGCAGTCTCACCAAGCTCTGGGGTTTCACACTCTTCCTCCTCCCGGTGGCTCTCCCATCTCTCCTGTGCCAAGACTGGCAGCGCTTACCTGTCCCTCCCTGTGTCCTTGTGCATCATCCACAGCAGGAGGCGCAGGGTTTCCCCAGAGATGTGGGAAACTAAGGCACGAGTGGGCTGCCTGCCTGCCCAGGATTGCCCAAGAGGCTGATCCTGGATTGGGCTTCCTGCTCCTCCTCCCCAGCAGCCCCAGCCCTGCTAAGCAGCAGGGCATTACAGCTGCCCGTGGTGCCCAGGCTGCTCTGCTCCCTGCTCATGTCCCCTCTCCTGTTTCTCCACAGGTGACTGTTCCCAAGATGTCCCTCTGGAGCATCATCTCCCACATGCCGCCGGAGGAGTTCAGTGGCCTCTTCACAGAGTTTCCCCGCAGCCTGCGCTGTCTCCTGGCTGACTGGCTGGAGAACCAGCCCTGGTGAGTCCCCTGGTGCCTGTGGGCTCTGCTCTGCCCTGGTGCAGCTCCCCACGCACCCATGGTCAGCCTGGGCAGCGTCCAGGGCTGGCTGCCCTGGGGGGCTGGGGCGAGCTGGGGGCCCCAGCCCAGGCAGCACCTGACCATCAGGTCTGAACGCACGGGCAGAGGCAGATGTTGGTGACGGGCCCTGTCCACGGCCCCAGACGAGGTGGGTGAGGAGGCTGGGGTCTGCACAGGGCATCCGGTCAGAAACAAAAGGAGATGGGGCCGGAGGCAGGACCACAGCATTGCTCCAGGGGGCCCATCCAGGAGATGGGGCTGCAGGCAGGGCCAGGGGCAGAGGCAGGCATGATTGCAGTGCAGTGTAGCATAGGAAAGGCCTCAGGACCCCGAACTGGACACAAATGAAGCTCCTGGACCCGTGGAGAGAGAGTGCAGCCATCTGGGTGAGGCTGCTCAGGGTCTATTAGTGCCTGTGGGGTCTGGACTGCTGCGACTCTGTGTTTGCAGTGGCAGCAGCCATGGGCACAGCCTGGCCAGAGTCCCCTTTTTGTGCCTAGGAAATAGTAACAGCAATGATTGATTATCCCTGTTACGGGCTCACCCAGGCTTCTCCTTTGCATGGTGCAACGACCAGGATGCAGGCGGGCAGGAAAGCCCCACTGGCACATCATTCTGCCTCGTGGGGCCGCGGCCGTGCTGGGTGTCAGAGGAGCAGTGCAGGCCGCGTTGCAGCGGTGGGTGAGGGGGGCTGGTCCCTGGCACGTGGCTCTGGGATCCACAGCACGGCTCAGGCCAGAGTGCAGCAGTGGGGTCACGCTGCAGGGATGAGGCATGGTGGAGGCAGGTGGGCATGCAGGAGCTGGGTGTACACGTGGGAGAGGTTTCAGGAGGTCACGTCCTCTCCGGAGAACTGCCTCATCCCGCTCAGAGCGCAGTTCACCCTTGTTCGCGCAGCAAATCCAGCCAGAAATCCAGCCAGTGCTGGGTAATGCACCAGGAAGGCAGGTGTCCCCTTCCTTGGGGCTAGCATGGGGTTCAGGGTTGCACAGCAGAGGGTGGAGGATTCGTGCCTGTCCACCCAACCCTTTCCCCTCTCCAGGGAGTTCATCAATGGCTCGGACGCCTTCTGCACCAGCGTGGCCAGCGGGATGCTCTCAGCCATGCTGGAGAAGCTCCGCAGCGCTGCCGGCAGCGATGGGCAGCAGTGCCAGATCCTCCAGCAAGTTAGCAGCATCGAGGTGTGTGAGGGCCGAGCATGGGGACCCTCGGGGCCGTGTTGCGCTGGGATCGCGGCTTACTGCCAAGGAATATTTGATTATTTTATGCTTCGGATTCGCTGGTTCAAGCACCACTCAAAGGGGATGGTGCTACGAGCCCGTCCCCCCTTGACACCTGTTTCAAGGCCAGTGCTGGCTGTGAGCAATGAGCTTGTGCAGACTCAGCAACTGGGGTTTTCGGGGCACTTCAGGGAGATGGAGGGGGTTTGTTTGCATCCCAGGGCTGACTCCCAGCTCGCCACAGCACTCGGGCTGTCACAGCTGTGATCGCGGTTCCCCTCAGCTCCCCACCCCCACCGGCCACTGGGCTTTCCAGCTTCCCCTCGCTGCCACGGTTCTGCAACCCCTTCGGTGCCCAGTGGCCCCCAGGGAGCAGCCCCCTGTGGCGACATCCTCCCAGGCCCTGTGCCGGACCCTGACCCCATGGGGAGCCCCCTGAGTGCGTTGGCCCCCTATGGCCCACGGCTCCGTTTGCCCCCAGCTGCCAGCACCCGGGCAGCCGCCTCACCAGATGTTCCCCATTTTCTGCTTGAGCATTTGATTTCTCCTTCCTCCATGCCATGTGTTGTGCTGTGTTTCCTCCTGCTGTGTATGCATGTGCATGCTGGGTTTCTTTTTCTGGGCTGTTTCTCTTTATCAAGGTCTGTTTGAATTGTGCTCTCTCTCTCTCTCTCTTCCACCTTCTGTGATTGCAGATTTAACCCCTGTAATCTCTCTCCTGCCAACGAAGCTCTTAGCGTAAGGGCTGAGTGGTGCTTGCTCCCAGAGCCCCGTTCTGGTTGAAAGCCCCGCTTTTTTGGTAACAGACATTTTTAATATACATTTGGGAAGGTGTCTGCTTTAGTAATAACTTCTGGGGAACAGGGTAACTTTCCAAAACAAGACCGTTGCTTGCTTTTTGAAATTGTAGGAAAATGCACAGATGTTTCAGCTTAGGTGTTTTTATTTAAAATGCTCATGAAGAGCCACCCTCCCATGTTCCTTCCTCCTGCTGTTCCTCATCCCATAACAGCCAACCCTCATTTCTCCCGAGCTCCCTGCTGCTTTCAAGCCTGGCCGGGAGGCAGGGCTGCTCTCCGTGGAGGGCAGTGGAAGCGCTGCCTGTTGGTGCTGCCACGTGGGTGGTGGGAGCTGGGTGCTCTCCCATGAGATGGGTAAACGCAGGGTCAGGGAAGCAGCTGGGGGAAGTATGGTGGGAAACTGGCTGGTGGGAGACCAAGCCTGGGCCTTATGTCCCCTGAACCCCGGGGCTGGCAGGGTTTGCCCCAGCAGAGCCCCAAGGCTGGCCTGGGGCTGCCAGTGCTATGTCAGGATCTGAGGCAGATGCAAGGGGTTCAGGGGGTAAGTTGCGGAGCTGCCTCCCAGCCAGCATGGGAAGCTGCCGAGCATGCCGTCCAGCAGTTTGCCATTGCGCTCTGCTGCTGTTTTGGGAAGTAGCTGATTTGGGAAATGCACGAAGGCTGGAGGAGCTGGCACGGGGCGCAGGGAGCCAGAGCCAGCAGGGAAATTCCTCTCCCTGTTTTCGGTGGAAAGCGTTGATCCACCCGGGCCAGGGCAGCTGCGAGAACCTTCACCAGGTGTCAGGCTGGCAGGTCTCGAGGAGATGCTTGCAGAAATAGAGAATTTGCTTTGGTTTGATTTTTTTTTTTAATTTGAAGTTGATTTTTTTTTTTAATGCACAGTTTAAAGTGGTTTTAAAGCTGGAAATTAGCTCTGTCAGAACAGTGGCGAGTTGTGGTCTGTCCCATGCTTTGGGTCATGAAACCCCACAGTCTGACTTAGCACCATTCATTGTGGGAAGGGGGCCCGAAATGCATGAATGGGGTGGGAGGGTGCCAGGGCTGGGGTGTGTGTGTCCTGCCCCGCTAACACCCTGGGCTTGGCTCCCCCACAGAATGCCTACCGGCGGGACCCACTGCGGCTGGTGGCCGTCCTGAAAGCGATCCTGGAGGGTGAGAAGGCCGCTGTGCTCAAGAGGGTGCGTGGTCCCTGCCCCTTCCAGGGCGCCCTGAGGTGTAGGGCCAGCTCCAGTCCCCACTCACCCTGCTGTGCTCTGCCCCAGGACCACCACCTGCCCCTCAGCTTCCACCGGCGGCAGGAGGAACTGAAGTTCAGCCTGGGGCTGCAGCGGCTGCAGCACCATGTCCGCGAGATCCAGGCACTGCGGGACAGCCCTGCAGGTGAGGGGCCAGGACAGGATGGATCCCTGCTCGGTGTGGGTCTGCCATGGGGCACAGCAAAGGTGGTGTGCCCCCTGGGGTGCTGGGCAGTGCAATGCAGACACTGGCTCCCTGTGCTAACGGGGCCACCCCCATCCTTCCTCCGCAGCCTCTCTGCAGCTGAACGCGCGGGAGCCACAGCTGAAGACAGACACGAAACCCCCAGAGAGCGTGAGTGGGGGTCTGGGGCACCAGGGGGAAAGCCCTGCCTGCCAGGGAAGGTGCAAACCGGCTCTGGGGTGGCGAGGCAGTGCAGGGCCAGGGGTCTCGGTGCCCTGGGGGGGGACGGTGTAGGGCTGGGGGGACAGTGCAGTGCAGAGCCCCATGGCCAGTGCTGCTCCTCAGGAGCTGCCTACCCTGATCCTCGAGGCCGTGAAAGAGCTGGAGGCAGCCAAGCAGCAGGTACTGAAGAGGATCCAAATCTGGAAGAGGCAGCAGCAGCTGGCAGGGAATGGGGCCCTCTTTGAGGAGAACCTAGCTCCGCTGCAGAAGAGGTGAGGCGGCACAGGGCAGAGACGGGGGACCCAGAGCAACCCTCCTGCCCCCTCTGCTCCCCTGGGAGTGGGGAGCCCACTGGCTTGAGGGGCTGTGGGAGAGTGGTGGTCCGGCTCTGCTTTGGCTGAGGGTGCCCCTTTCCCCGTGGTTCCCTCGGCAGGTAGAGGTGTTATCCAGCCTGGTCAAGAGGTAACGGGTGGGGGGGGCTGTGGTGGCAGAGGAGCGAGGTGGGTCTGCAGAGGTTGGTGGCAGAGCTGGCAGGGGTGCTGTGCCAGGCACCATTGTCTCCCCTTGTCCCCCAGCTCCTTCCTGGTAGAGAAGCAGCCCCCACAGGTGCTGAAGACCCAGACCAAGTTCCAGGCAAGTGTCCGGTTCCTGCTGGGCCCCCAGCTGCTGAAGGCATCGGCCAAGCCCTACATGGTGCGGGCTGACATGGTGACAGAGAAGCAGGCACGGGAGCTGGCGCTCAGTGCCTACAGCAACACCCTCAGGTGAGCAGCCGGATGGCCAGTGCGGGGGCGAGGGGGCTGCCACGCCACCGCGCCCCCCCAACCTCTTCCTCTGCCCAGCGAGAGCACAGGGGAGATCATGCATAACGTGGTGGCCCTGGAGACCAACCCCACCAGTGGGACCTGCTGTGCCAACTTCAAGAATGTGGTGAGTGCCACCAGCAATGGGCCATACAGGGGCTACGGGACGGGCTGGGAGCTCCGCTGGGGTGCTGAGAGGCCGCAGGGGAGAGCCGTCTTGGTGGGGTGGGCTGAGGACCTCAAGGCCAGTGCTTGCCCAGGGGTGACACTCAGCTCTCCCCTCTCTAGCTGCTGAAGAAGATCAAGCGCTGCGAGCGGAAGGGGTCCGAGTCAGTGACGGAGGAGAAGTGTGCCGTCCTATTCAGCACCACCGTGGCTGTGACCCCCAGCAATCTTTCCATCCACCTCCAGGTACTGGTCCCTCTCCCATGGGACAGGGCTGGGCAGTACTGAGCCTTCCCCTGCGGGACGTCCGGGCCCTGTGCTGGACAGCTTGGTGCAGAGCCCCTGAGGTGGTCCCAGGGCAGCCAGCCCCGCTTCACTCTGGGTGGCCTCAGGGCTGAAGGGGGGCTGCGCTCTGCCCCCAGGTCCTGTCTCTGCCCATCGTGGTCATCGTCCACGGGAACCAGGACAATAACGCCAAAGCAACCGTGCTGTGGGATAATGCCTTCTCCGAGATTGTGAGTGCCACAAGCCAGAGGGAAGGGGCACAGGGCGAGTAAAGGAACTGCTGGGATGCCGGGTCCGGCTCTGGGATGGGAATGGCTGGCAGTCTGGAGCAGGAACATCGGCACGCGGGTGGGATGCGGCAGGCTGAGACGGGGCAGCGGGTGAGCTGCTGTCCTGATGCC